AGAAGAGACATTCTGGGATGTTAGACCCGGTGCCGAAAACGGTGTCGCCAGTACAGTCGGCCCCCGAGAAGCAATCGACGAAGACCGACATAGCCGGAGAGGAGGAAACAAGGAGAGCGCTGACGATGAAGCCAACGTTGAATTGCATGGTGGGGAGTGTTTCGATCGTGTAGCTCGATTCTAAACGAGTAAAAGGGTGAGCTGGAGTTTTTTCTTCGACAGAAGGGTGCTGACTCAATTGAAAGTAGGGAGAGGAGCTGAGCGAAATGTCTCCAGAAGAACGGGTATTTATACCGGGTCTTTCGAACATTTCTCATGAAAAATTACAAATCCATGTACTTACATCCGTTGAACCCGGCTTAGATTCCAACCACGTTAACGTTTAACCACCGACGATCGGAGGTTGATACTCAGTGGACCACCAATGTAAAACGTTTGATTGCTTCTTCCTTTGTGCCTCTCATTCTTCACATTTGCATATTGTAAATCAACCGAGTATATGATGAGTTTGTATGCGTTTATCGTATTTTGAGCTGCCTTTGACCTGGGCGGTTCATCCATCGATTTCCTCCCTCCGGAATATTTTGAGGGCCGTTCAAGGCGGAGTCTAAAGACAATTCAGCGTATTCACTGCCTTCAGGGCCTGGCACCGGGGTAGACATTATCATGTGGTCGCGATTATGAGGTGCCGGGTGTGTACCCGGGTCCGCGCGTCTGTCGTTACATCTAAACTGAACCGGGCCGCGGTGACGAATCTTACGTGCGGAACAGCCTGAAAAAAGCTGGCATTTCTGAGAATTCCGGTGACATGGCAAGGGCTCGCGCTCACAGGAGCACAGGATCTATTGCAGGCCGGGACTATCCATGCCCGGGGACTTGTTGAGATCCACACACCCAAATTTGCTGATCACCCAAATTTGCTGAACAAAGAAAGACCATTCGGACGAACGTGCATCCATCCAATGAGAACAAGACTCGTTTGCGGAGGACGAACAAAGACCAACCTGTTCATCTCAGGGCTCAGGTCTAGCGCTCAGGCTCGAATCGAACGAGGCGTTCCGGCACGGCTTTTTTCAAACATTGGTATCCGTCACCGGACCTCCATCTCGCACTTTGGAACCTGATGAGTAACATCGAGGTTGACTAAAGGAAACAAATACTCGGGGGCAGTTGATTTTTCGAGCATATAAGATCTGACGCAGTGCGAGGGCTGGAGCCCAAGGGGATGGCTGGGATGAAGGGAAATTTTGAGCGCATCATACAAATACAGGTCCGTATTGCCACAGGCTGTGAATCCATACAACAAACGAGGTACGAGTTTCGCAGTGTTGTAGCATCTGTTTGTAAGAGGCTAGTGAATCCAACCCAACGATCAAGTCCATTCGGAGCCAGTAGGCGTTTATCTAGCAGGAGCCGGTGGCGGAGACGCGTAGTATGGGATCGCGGCCCGAATTTGAGCCTGGTGAGTTCGCCACCATCCCCGAGTCGAGAGGGCGGCGACAATGGTGCAGAACACGAGGATAATGAAAACTATGATGTACCAGTCGCGGTAGCTGGCAAGGTTGATATTGATTGGGAAAAAAACCTTGGGGAACTCACTTCTTGTGGATGATAAGAGAAGCGATCACCGCGCCAATGGTTCTTGGGTTCAATTCAGCGTGCAAAATAAGGCGATGCATGACCCGTCGACGAACAAGAGATCTAAAACCAAAGCTATGGCTGGAAAATTCAAATTCAATGGCAACCGTGGTGGTATTGAGGACTGTTCTTACCCCAGCTAAGATTCCTACATCAGACACGTACACCCCAAGAAAGGCTCATACGCACATGATGGCCATAGTCCGAGCGGATGTCGGCATTGCAAACGAAAACTGCGACTACAAGTCTGGTGCAGCAGTGCTTGGTAAGAGTAAGAGTGCCGACACCCGTTTTGAGGATGCGCAGGGGGGCGCTCCATAATGCTCCACTAACGGATTGGGCGAATGCCTATGGGCTCATACCGGACTACCAGAACGGATTCAGGGAAGGGTATCGAACGAACAATAACCCTTTCATCCTGCGCTGCGTAAAGGAGTGGGCTCGGGCAAGAGGACTCACAGTTTATGTTGCTGCTGTGGACGCGACCAATGCTTTCCCGTCGACAGATCATCCAACGTTGTGGTTGAAACTCCTCCGCATGGGGATGGGAGGCGCGTTATTCGACTGGCTGCGTATGCTGTACCAAAAGATGGAATACTACGTCCGACATGGTGATCGCAACTCTGCCGAGTTCAAGGCATTCATTGGCCTACTCACTGGCGACCCTGCATCCCCAGTTCTATGGAATCTATTCATGGCAGACCTCATTATGCTTGACGACATAGACGACGCTATTCTGTCCGGTATTAGAATTGCTATTCTTGCTCAAGCCGACGACATTTTGCTCATGTCCCTCTCGGCTGAAGGATTGCAGCGCAGACTGAACGCACTCACCAGATGGTGCTCACTGAATTTCATCGTTGTCAATATGATCAAGACAATTGTGATGATCTTTGGTCCAGCGCCGGTAAACCTCGTGTTCAAACTCGGAGAAACCACACTGGCTATCAAATCCAAGGAGAAATATGTCGGCATGAACTTCCGAACGGATACAAGGAATATGTTTGAGGACCACTACAAGGCAAAAGCAAGCACAGCGCGGTATTGCGCCCATCGGATCATGGGATTAGAGGACTCAACGGGCCGTCTCACACCCAAGGAGCTTAAACCTCTGTACATGGGACGAGTCGATTGTCACCTTACCCACGGCTGCGAAGTGTCTCCTGACAGCGAGGATATTCATGTCAAGGAATTATGCGCCGTTCAAGTTGACTTCCTACGACAAATGCTCAACGTCCATTCCCAATCCGTGCTCGCACCGCTCTTTACTGAAACCGGGATTATGCCGCTCCGTATCCGTCGCTTCATCATCCTCTTGGTGTATCTGCAATACCTACTCTCACTTGCAATGCCTCACCTGGCCCGAGCTGCACTAAATAGTTCGATCGAACTCGCAACAATCGGGAAGAGGTCTTGGGCCGGAAATGTACTCACTGCAGCCACCAAGCTACCTTTCGCTTGCCCTCCCCTGGATTTTAAAACCGCTACTGAAAAGAGCGTTGCAGAATATCGTAAGGGAATTGAATCCTTGGCATTGGAATGGTTACAGAGTGAAGTTGACTCGTCCGTCAAACTCTACTTGCTACATGGTCGACTTGAACCACAAAAGGACAAACCAGCCGCACGTAAAACTCTCTATCTGAGGCACTACCTATCCATGGTGAAGACAGCTGAACACCGCGACGCTCTAACCTCGATCATGCTGTCGACACACCAACTCGCCTTAGAAAGACTGCGGTACACAGATCACGCACTACAACCAGTTCCACGCCACGAACGTCTCTGCCGCTTTTGTGTAGCCAAGGTAGAAAGCCCGGAACACGCGTTACTTGAATGCCAGGCCAGCCCTGAAGTCCTCAATCTACGCAACGTGTTCCTGCAAAAACTCCTCAGAGCGGCACCGAAAATGCAGAGTAGATTCGTTGAGCTCAACTCGGTCGAGCTGCTGAAAGCCTTGATCTACGAGCGTTCAACAATAACCCTGGTTGGTAAATTTGTGCATGATGTCCTTAAAGTGTTCTATGACCTGCCCGTGTATCGCCCAGGTAGACGTTCAGACTGACAGGCTTAATCCAGGTGTTTATATGCTTTTTTCTGTTGCGTGGTTTCTACCGTGGGGCATGGGATTAAACCTGTGGGGTCTGCGAGCTAGGGCTATGGCAGCAGGGAAAGGTCCAGGGGCGATGGTGTAATTACGCTTGCTTGTACACCGGGAAAATCCCTGGAACCGGCGTTCGTGATTCGGACCGGCCGTGTAATGATACCTACCTACCTACCTACCTACCACGCAGTGCCGTCCGGTGGCCAGCCGATTTGTTGCTTTTGAATACACAAAGTGATCCTTGGTGATCCTGGGCTTGATTGAGGGTCTCATTTGACGGTTCGTGTGAAGTTCTGCTCCATACCACAGAATTCGTTCTACGTCATGAAGGCGAACGTTTGATTTGCGGGCGAGTAGACTGGTCTTATACGTGTGAAGAGAATAAGTTGGACCTGAAAAAGCGCTGAAGTTGTTGTGGCGCAGGGGCGCGGGCTCGATTCGAACGAGCGACTCTTCATTCCTGTTCCAGTCAGTGCAAGTGCGGACCATCCGCCGCCGGGCCTTGCTGTGGTGCTTTGAAAACTGGTTAGCTGTGTACATCTATATATATATATATATCCTGGCCCACCTCAAGCGGGAAAATGCGAAAAAGACAGATAAAAAGAGATACGAACCGAAGGAATGGCTAGGACTCGATTCGAACGAGCAGCTCCTGCAGAACGGGTCGACAAGTCGATGAACTTGGTGCAGGTGCGGACCTTCCGCCGCCGGGCCTTGCTCGTATGCTTAGAAACTGGGTTAGGTTCAAACCGAATTCCGAAAGATAAAATTGAACGTACACAATCCCGTCAAACCGCCCGCATTAGTGGTGGGCTTATATTGAGTGGCCGTCCTGGTATGCTCTGATACCTTGGGTAGATTCCGAAAACAGGATGCCTAGAGTCAAATAATAAGACTGTTTCTCCTCAAATAATGCCGGCGTAGGGGAGTCTGTGAACACGCGCAAAAGAAATACCGTCAAGTCTCAACCACTTGGAATGGCCCGGGCTCAATTTGAACGAGCCGCTCCTTGCATGGTGAGAATGACTTATGTGAAGCAGGTGCGGACCATCCGCCGCCGCGCCGTCCTCACATATCTAGAAACTCGGTTAGACCCACAGCCGAATTTTGAAGGGATTACGAAGGAACTATGCACAACGCAAATCATCCCGCCAACCTGCCAACCAGATCAGTAGGCCTTGACTGGTTGGATTCGCGATCAAGTGAGGAGAGGTTGCATCGATCAAGAAAGGGAAAAAAACACTTTTTTAAAACTCGCTGATGGCCCGGGCTCGATTCGAACGAGCGACTCCTGCAACAATCTTTCGCACAGGCAAAGGCACTTGGTGCGGGTGCGGACCACCCGCCGCCGGGCCTATCTAGTATACCTGGAAACTTGGTTAGGTGCGCAACCAAACCCAGCGACTCGGAGGGAAAATATTTCTACTAACATTGTTCAATGCATTGGTGGATCAAAGGAAATATATCTGCAGAAGTTTGGCGCGGAGGGAAACTATTTATTCAGTGCACCTGCGGGCCATTCACCGTCGGGCCTTCCTCGTTTGCCTGGATATTTGGTCAGATTCGCTACGGTATTCAACCAATGGATGAGCTGAAACGCACACTGCATACTCCTGCTACTGCCAAGTACTTCAATTGAATGATTGTGGGAATCCCAGTTTGGCACGATCTAACGAAAAGCATCGCCAGTGGATGCACTACAACGCAAAGCAGATCTCATTAGACGAAAAAGATCGGACGCAACTATGGCCCGGGCTCGATTCGAACGAGCAACCCCTGCAAACTTAAGTCCTGAACGCTGTCCAGATATGGACTGCAGGTGCGGACCATCCGCCGCCGGGCCTTGCTCAACCACCCTCAAACCTGGTTATACTGCGTGGATCTGAAACAAGCTATGCGAACGCGAATAAAAAGGGCGACGAGGTAGCAGTAATGGCCCGGGCTCGATTCGAACGAGCGACTCCCGCCGAGATTCGTTAAGAGCGGCTACCTAGTGCGGGTGCGGGACCATCCGCTGCCGGGCCTTCGCATGTCACTCTCAACCCTGGGTTTATTGACATGCAGGCGCAACTTGAACTTCAAGGCCGCAAGTCACGACTGCTGGTTGAGAGAAGCTTCACGGTCTAGTAGCACAGGCAGTGACACGGAGAACATACGAGGCTGAGTGAAGGTTGAAGAGGTGGCACCCAGTCGGGGCGAGAACTTCCGGCGAACGTTGCCCGGACCAGAGCAAGACCAGAGTGAGCCAGAAATAGCAGGGAAAGCCACGACGGTACGTTCTGGAGAAAAGTTGAGCAACGGTGAGGCTGGACTGGGAGGCCTTGGAGGGTCAGCGAACCGCAATTTGGCGCAATCCAGACAAGGGAGGAGAGGGAACGGACGAGAAACCGTGAAACGCGGAGAACACGGTGAAGAGTTACGTCATCAGGTGGCAGTGCCTTTGCTTTTGCGACTCCCCACGACGACGACGACGAGCTCGACGACGAGCTAACTCTTCTCCTCACCGCCGCCCATGTCCGCCTCCGTCTCTCCCTCAGGCTCTGCCGCCCCCTCCGGCTCCGCTGCACCCTCCGGCTCCGGCTCCTCCGCCCCAGCGCAGCAATCCCAAGCATCCCAGACGCAGTCCAACGCGCCCTCAATCGCCCTGACGCTGCCACCCGGCGGCGCGACGATTACGCAGCCCCCGCAGACGGCGACGTCGTTCTTCAAGATCGCAGAGAACCAGATGATCACCATCGGCTGGAACCTCACCTCCGTGCTCGTGCAGCCCACGAGCCTCACGCTCAGCGCCGTGTGCGACAACGGCAACACGTACGCTGTGGGGCCCGATCCCGATGGGAAGGTCCCCGGTACCGCGACGCAGGTCGTGTGGGATGTGTATTCGTATAATCAGGTATGCGCGGCGATTCTTTGCCGGCTTGTGTATCATTTTGGAAGAGGGTGAAGTGCTGATGGATGTATGCAGGCACACCCCGGGACGAAGCTGGCGCAGGCGACGTACACGCTGCACATGTGGGACGACCGCGGCCCGACTGTAACGCCGCGCGCGGGGTACATGAGCCCCAATACCGCTCTGGCGTTTGCAATGTACACGCCCCAGGCGTATACGCCGATATCAAGTGGTGAGTCCTCCGCCTGTGTTACCTCCCTGCTCCTCTGCCCCCCGCGCACTCTACTGGCCGTGGGCGGGATTTATGATGTCGCGCCTCCATACCTTGCTCACTCCGTTCCTCCTTCCCATCCGCCGTCCTTCTGTCATCCTCCCCCGTTCCTTGTCCCTCTGTCCCTCCGTTTTCCCGCTGCCCCTCATCGTTCACTTCCATCCCCTCCATCCCCTCCATCCTGTTCTTACCTCCGTTCCCTTCCCTCTCCCTCCCTCCCTTCTTCCTCGTCCCCTCCTCCCCTCCCATCTCTACCCCCTCTTCCTCTTCGTCCCTTCCTACCCCTCCCTTGTCCCTTCCTACCCCCTCCCCTTCCTCCCCGTCCATCCTCCCCGTCCATCCTCCACTCCCTCCCTCCCCCTTCCCTGCCCCCCGTCCCTTCCCTCCCCGCTCCCTCCCCTCCTCCTTCCTTCCATTCCTCCTCTCTTTCTCCTCTCCTCCTTCTCCCTCGCTCATCCCCCATCCCCCCTCGCCTCCTTCTCTCACACAAACGCTAACCCCGTCTTCCCCCCAGGCTGGTCCTGCACAGGCTGCAACTCCGCCCTCGCCACGCGCCCCGCGCTCGCCGGCCTCCTCCTCACGCTCTTCATCATGCTCGTCTCCGGCATGCGGGTGTTGCGGGGGCGGGCGTGAGCTTCCTGCTTCCTGCTTCCTTTGTCGGGATTTTGGGTGTCGGGGTTCGGTTGGCGGGGTGGGGGTTGGCGGGGGTGGTTATACATCTACGTCCTGCGTATAGCGGTATCGCGGTATCAGGACGTAGCGGACAGGACAGACTCTCCTCTTCTCTATGCATCTTACACACCCTTACATACCGCACTCGCACTCGCACTCGCCTTCGTTCCTTTCTCCCTTAAAATTCTCTTCCCCTCGCATTTGACACTTTTACATTTTTAAATTACACTCACGACCCGCACGCACGCATGCATAGCACGGACTACTCTTTAGCTTTATTATTTGGTTTGGTATACAGTTCGAGGATAATACGACGGTGAATGGACTGTGTGTAGAGAGAGAGAGAGAGAAGCGCGCGTGTGGTCGACGCAGCCTGCGCCCGTATCATGAGTTCGCTGGTACATGAACCGAATCCCTTCCGCGCCCGTCATTCGAATAACCTCTGGCTGCAAAATCCAAGAGGGTAGGAGTCCCCGTCGTCCTCGGTCTCCGTCCTCCCCGTGCTTCCTTCCCAAGCTAGCTCAAGGACGCGTCGCTCGAATCAGCACGGTTGTGCGCGGTCCCGGCGGGAGAGAGGGAGTGACGCTGCCGGAGAGAGTAGACTTGGACTGAGGGCTGGGATGTATACAGATGGAAGGGCTCGGCCCTGTCCGCGCTCGCGCCGACTCCAGGCTCCAGCACGGCCATGCACCCGGAGTCCGGAGTCCGGATCCCGCGCTACGCTGCGACTCTGGGAGCGCTTGGACTGGAGCTGGGGGTGCGCGCGTCAAACGCCTAGCGTAGTTTGCATAATGCTGCGGACGAGGCCCTGGTTTCGGGAGGGGATGGGGGAATGCCGCAGGACGAGGCGACGCGATGAAGGAAGAACGGGCTGGCGAGTATCGGTAGTCTCCTGCAATAGATGGTCTAGGGGGCCGAATACCCAGAGTGCGAAGAGAGCGCGCGGGGGAGGGGACGAGGAGGGTTCTGTACGATCCGGACGAGGGTGCCGAAAGCTGCCGGCGAGGGAAGGTAACGAGGTGCTCTCGACCTCCCGAGCGAGGCCTCCGTTCACATGTACAGGGTGCCATATCTTCCTGCAGGACGTATACAAACTTGAGCGATGAATTGACTCAGGGCTGTGGATATAGCGAAAGAGAGACGACGCCCGCACACTGCTCCCATTTCATGCATGCATGCGCTGGGTGCCGATGGCCCCACCCGCATTTCCCTCCTCGCGCCTCGTGCCCCACGCCTTGGAGTGCTTCCCACTGTCCAGCTCCGCTCCGCACCGCACCTCACCGGTTGCTCGTCGCCCGCCACTAAGGGTGGTCTATGTCGGATCGCCGCCTCAGCGCTCGGCAAGTGCCAGCCAGTCTCCACAGCGCTTGGACTGATCCCGGCTTGAGGAGGGGACAGGGGAGGGGCGCGCCGACGGGGGACGGGGAGGGACGTGGTGAGCGACGGGGTAGATTATGGATGATGGAAGATCCGAGTAGCTGAAGACGAGCTCCCGGCTTGAGGAGGGGATGCGCCGGGCCAGGACCTAAAGGGGGACGCGAGGGAGGTCAGACGGTAGTAATGATAGTAGACGCAGTGGAGTAGTGCCAGAGAATGACCGTTTCGTCCAAGGATGGAGGGGTGGGCAGGCAGAGGTGAGTGGGCAGGATGCAGTGGGCGCGGTCCACATACGCCTCTGCGACCACGACGGGGTGGAGGTATGCCATCGATACGTCAACGTGTATGGCGTACGGCGAGCGGCTAGCGGGCGCCTCTGATGGTTTAGGACAGCAAGAGCGGTAAATCGGGTACAAGAGGCCGGCGGGTGGCACGCGCGCGTGGGGGGAGGAGCCCAGAGAACAGCATCGATTCTCGCCTGCAATGGATGGCGTAGGGGCAGACTATCCTGAATCTTAAGAGGGGCCGTGAGGGGAGGTGGAGAATCAGTACGATCCGGAGGAGGAGGCGGCGGGGATGCCGAAAGTCTTTCACTTAGGAGGAGAGAGGGAGAGGTGCGCTCGACCGCCCAACAGCGCAGTGAGCGAGGTCTACAAGGAGAAGGGTCCAAAAGCTCGGTCACAAAGATGAGAGGGGGAGCTCCGTCCATCCATGGGATGCCGTATCTTCATGGAGAACGTATCCAAACGGTATCGGCTACAATTGTGAGAAAGTGGAACGAGTTGTGTCCCCGAGGCGGATGCAACGAGGGGCGGGAGAGCGGGCGTGTGAAGCGCCAAAGTGTCGCCGAGGCTCGCAGGATGGGGGGTCCAGCGCGTGGTGGCGGCGGAAAAGGCTGGAGAGAGGCGGGAAGCCTTTCTATCCTCGACCCGAGCGCCAGGAAAAGCAGGAAAGCGAGCTCGACTGGAGTACGTGCGATCGAAGCGAGGCGGGGAATCATGGCACATCTCGTCCAGTTCGCCCATTGCGCGGCGGAGACCACGGGAGTAGTGTGCTGCGCTATGCGCGCGAAGTGAGACAGACCGACATGCAAGTTGGGCTGGCTCAAGACCGCGGGTGGATCTTGGACGCTGTATCCTCAGTGA